ATCCAGCGATCAGTAAAGCTGCTAGTGTAGACCAGATAAAATAGGGGACTCATATGTGGGGTTCAGGCTTCTGAAAAGGAGAGTGACCTGGTTTGGAGCCATCTGGCTGCTTGGAATGTAAGAGTGATTGGGAAAATGGGGTAGAAGGTAAGTGGGGAGGAGAGCATATCAAAGGTCCCAAGGCCTGGGGAAGGCCTACTTCCTGAACTACCCTTGGCTCCACTACTGAAGCTGAGGCAGGAGCCAACTGCTTCAGCCCCTTCTCCTCTCCCTGCCTCTAATCTCTCTAGAGTTGACCTGGTTGTTCACTCCCTGAAGGACCTCCCCACTGTGCTGCATCCTGCCTTCACCATTGGAGCCATCTGCAAGTAAGAGTCCTGGAAGCAAGGGGCCTGAGCAGGGGGTAGACCTCACAGGAGACTTTGCTTTTCCCTCTGGGACTTGGTCCTCTGCTTTGAGTGTGGCAGAAAACTCAGAATATGCCAGTTAGTTAGCTACTGAGAGAATGGAAATGACTCAAATTGAAATTTCTCCTTCATTCCATGATCTTCCTTCCTCCTCCAGGCGGGAAAACCCCTGTGATGCTGTTGTCTTTCACCCAAAATTTGTTGGGAAGACCCTAGAAACCTTGCCAGAAAAGAGGTGAGTGGGGCCTGGATGGTCATCCTGGTGGGAGGAGCAGGAAAGGAACAGTGGCTGCCTAGTGATAAATTTTAAATCCTCTTTCTGAGCAGCACTGTGGGGACCAGCTCCCTGCGGAGAGCAGCTCAGCTGCAGAGAAAGTTTCCACATCTGGAGTTCAAGAGTATTGTATCCTTTAGAAGGAGGGGTCAAGATTCTTGATACTTGAGGAAGAAGATAAGACCTAGATGACCCTGGAAGTCCTGAGAGTGGAAGGGGCTTCTGGTGCAGGTGGCCCATAGGGGCAGCAGGCTGACTGTCTTTCCATCCACCCATTCACCCATCCTTCCATGTATCCATCCATCCATCTGCAATCCTTTAATGTTTTCTTAGCCCAACGTAGATGCCTCACATTGGGGATAATGATGAGTCATATAAACTTTGTCCTTACTTATGTAGAATGAAAAGTTTACATTTTAGTTAGGTCTATAGATAGGCATTGATGATACAAAGTGATAGTGAATAGTGATTGTTTCTGGGGGCATAGAGGTGCTTCCATTTTTACTTTATATATGCTACTATATTATTTTGATTTTTTTTTTTTTTACTATGCAGTGGGTTTTGTTTGTTTGTTTGTTTGTTTTGTATTAGAGATTGAACCCAGGGGTACTTAAGTAATTACCCACTGAGCAACATCCCCAGCCTTTTTTTGGGGGGGTACCAGGGATTGAACTCAGGGACACTCAACCATTGAGCCACATCCCCAGCCTTTTTTGTATTTTACTTAGAGACAGGGTCTCACTGAGTTGCTTAGCAACTCGCTTTTACTGAGGCCATCTTTGAATTCGAGATCCTGCTGCCTCAGCCTCCCCAGCCTCTGGGATTACAGGAGTGCGCGACTGTACCCAACATTCTCAGCTCTTTTTATTTTTTGAGGCATGGTCTCACTAAGTTACTAAGACTGTCCTCAATCTTGGAATCCTCTTCTCTCAGCCTCCCAATTTGTTGGGATTACAGGTGTGCACCACCATGCCTGGTGAATATATAGTTTTATAAAACTAATTTTAAAAATGGTATATGCTAAGTGCTTAATGGGTAAAAATGGGGATTCTCTGGAAGCATCTAGCTGGAACATCTAAACAGAGACTTAGGGATCATGGAAGGTTTCTCTGGAGTCTTGTAACCTTGGGCAAGTTATTTAACCTTTCTGTATCATTGTCCTCATCTGTATAGTACTGCACATCTACTGCACAGGGCTGTCATGAAAATGAAATGAGCTGATATGGGAAAGCACTTTAGAACAGCATGGTGTTGTAAATGGTAGCTGTTGTCATGAAGCTGAGAGCTAAAAGATGGGTAGATGGAGAAGAAAAGAAACTCCAAATAGCATGTGGCTTTTCTTAGTCCTTAGCATCTCTCCGCAGCGGGGAAACCTCAACACCCGGCTTCGGAAGCTGGATGAGCAGCATGAATTCAGTGCCATCATCCTGGCTGTGGCTGGCCTGCAGCGCATGGGCTGGCAGAACCGGGTGGGCCAGGTAGGGGCTTCCAATTTCTCCTCCCCGAGTTCATCTGTTTCTCCTTCCTTCCTGTACCATCTCCTCCTCCTCCTTCTTTCTTTTTTTTTTTTTTTTGTACTAGAGATTTAACCCAGGGGCACTTTACAACTGAGCTACATTCTCTTCTAGGCCCTGTTTATTTGGTTGTTGATTTATATTTATTTATTTACCTATTTATTTATTTTGAGACCGGATCTCACTGAGTTTCTTAGGGCCTCACTAAGTTGCTGAGGCTGGCCTTGAACTTGCACTCCTCCTGTCTCAGCCTCCTGGGCTGCTGGGATTACAGGTGTGTACTGCACTGCCATGCCTGGCTGTACCACCTCCTCCTCCTTTTTTTTTTTTTTTTTCTTTGTCACTGTAGATGGGCAGTATGCCTTTATTTGTTTCATTTTATATGGTGCTAAGGATTGAACCCAGTGCCTCATAAATGCTAGGTGAGTGCTCTGCCACTGAGCTACAGCCTCAGCCCCACCTGACCTCTAATCTAATGCTGCAAATAGATTCCCAGGATGGGGGAGATTGGAAAACAAAGGCCAGACTCCTGCTTGTGCCTCCTCAGGCTTTCTAGATGTTAATCGAAGTACATCTCATTGCTGGATGCTTTTGGGCATCCCTGACCTCTCCCCACCCTTCTACCTGTTCTACTTCCACAGATCCTACATCCAGAGGAATGCATGTATGCTGTAGGCCAGGTAAGCTTGAGAAGCCACTTGTTAATTTGCTCCCTTCCCTTTGTTCTCAACAAGGAATCTGGTCTCACAACCTACAATATCTGCATTCCTCAAAATAAAATTATCAGGGAGGGGGCCTTGGATTGCTACTGGCCCCAAAGACCCTGGGGAACAGGCAGAAGGGTGATTCCCATCCTTAGCTGCATTAGTTGAGCGAAGATCAAGCTTGATGTGTTTTCATCAGGGGGCCCTGGCTGTGGAAGTCCGAGCCAAGGACCAGGACATCTTGGATCTAGTGGGTGTATTACATGATCCTGAGACTCTGCTTCGCTGCATCGCTGAAAGGGCTTTTCTGAGGCACCTGGTAGGACCTGTGCTTGCCCTGGAGGAGGGGGGTGGGCAGCCAGGATGTGCTGTGTGTGTAGTGATCACTCATTCTTGTTGAATGTTGTGAATGTGGAGGATGCAGGTCTTGGCCCAGCAGACTTTTCAGTTATGTCCTCTGTATCTCTGAGGGCTGTGGTCAAAGCATAGGAACTTTTCATTGCAGGAAGGAGGTTGCAGTGTGCCAGTAGCAGTGCATACAGTGATAAAAGATGGGCAAGTAAGTAGGGGAAAATGGGTGGGAAGACAGGGAAGGACTACAGCATTTCTCCCTATGCATCCTAGGTTTCTAAGCAGTCCTCTCTCAGAATATGCTGAAGCAACCATTTTCTTTCCCAGCTGTACTTGACTGGAGGAGTCTGGAGTCTAGATGGCTCAGATAGCATGCAAGAGACAATGCAGGCTACCATCCATGTCCCCACCCAGGTACCAAGGATGGAGGGTGAGGAGGGAGTAATGAATAATAGTGCATGTAATCTTGTCATTCTCACCAAATCTCACCTCCTTCCTTCATCCAGTATGACGATGGCCCAGAGGATGATCCACAACTGGTAGGCATCACTGCCCGGAACATTCCGAGAGGAGCCCAGCTGGCTGCTGAGAACTTGGGCATCAGCCTGGCCAGCTTGTTGCTGAACAAAGGAGCCAAGAACATCCTGGATGTTGCACGGCAGCTTAATGATGTCCACTAAATGGCCTGTGGGGTTCAAGTGCTTGAATTGCCACTTTCCAGTGCCTATGTCTAGCCTTCAGGACACCTGTGATCAATGGGGAGTGATTACCCCAGACTGAACTGCAGGGTCTGAGACTTCCAAGGACTTGCCTCACCTTGGGGCATTGATGACTGCCTTGCCTTCTGTTAAGTGGGGCATCATCTCTTTTTAGACATCCAAGCCAGTCTTTGAATGTAACCAACTCTACTAATAAACCAGCTCTGAAAAATGGTTTGTTTTGGTGGGGCTGGGGAAAAGAGATAAAGCCCCTCCACCACCCATACCCCCCCCCTTTTTTTTTTAACTAGGAATGGAACCCAGAGGCACTTTACCACTGAGCTACATCCCTAGCCCTTTTTGAGACAGGATCTCACTAAACTTAGTGCCTTGCTAAATTAAATTGCTGAGGATGGTCTCAAACTTGTGATCCTCCTGTGTCAGCCCCCAGAGTTGTTGAGATTATGGGCATTAGTCACCATGCCTGGCAAAACTCTTAAACCTTACTTGAGTCTAAGACCTTTGCTCAATGTTCTCCTGGAACATTTTTTTTTTGTGTGGGGGGTGGGTTGAGCTACATCCCCAACCCTATTTTTATTTTATTAAGACAGGGTCTCACTGAGTATGCTTAGCACCTTCCTTTTGCTGAGGCTAGCTTTGAACTTGGGATCCTCCAGTCTCAGCCTTGGAACTGCTGGCGCTGCTGGAATTAGTTATGGCAAGGCTCCCAGCTCTTCAATGTTTATACCTTGACAGTAATTTCAAACAAGTCCATTGTCTCACAGGGAGCACCAAGAAAGCAAGAGAATTGCTTTAAAATCTATGGCTTAGAGCCTAGAGTGTAGTTCAGCGGTAGAGCACTTGCACAGTACAGAGGCCTCTGGCACTGCCAAAAAAACAAAAACAAAAACACCCCCAAATCCTAGGTTGTCCCTTTTCCAGTTAACAGTACAGCATATTTAACATTAGTCTCTTCCACCCCACTACTTCAGGAAAGAAAGCATACATGTTATTAACCCTACAACTCTTGTAAAATGAAAACAGACACTTCATTTTTTTTAAAAAAAGAATCCTTTAATAAACAAAATTAGACCATCTGAAACTCCCCAATACTTAAGGTTCTAGTCGTGGATGGGTTAGCTGCAAAATTCCAGTTCAGAAGCCAAGAGAGGCTCAGTCCAGGGATTAACTGACATGTGCTGGTATCTAGGTGCTTGGATTGCCGAGTTTAATGGCTGGAGGGGAAATGGGGTTGATAAGCCCGATAGGCCCAGTTTTCAGTCTCTTTCAGCACAAAACAACTCTATGTCCAAACTGGAGCAAACTTCCTAGGAGTCATCTCAGGAGGAAAGATTTGTCCTGGCCACACCACACAGGCCTATGAATGAAGACGGAGATGACTGAAAATCCTGGGACTTGGCATAAAGGGGGCACCAAACCAAAACAAGTGATCGATTTCTCTCAAAGCCTGGAAATCAACAGTCAACGTCTGAAAGTCCTGGCAAGAGCTAAGCACCACGCTGAAGAAATGATACATCCAGGCTGCAGCAACTGAGGAACTCACCTTGAGGGCTGCCCACCTCTGCCCTACGTCAACGCGGAAAGCAAGTCTTCCAGAAGGTGCTGTGGCCTTACCGCAGCCCACCAGCCATTCTGAGATACCCGCACCAAGGAGGGCAGGTGCTGCGCCCCCAGCCCAGTCCCGCGGCGCAAGGGCCCCGAACGAGCCAGAGAAGGACGCCAGCCCGCCCCTCCTCCCGGTAGCCAGGACAAGGACCGAGGCCCTCTAGCGCCGCGGCAGGCCGTGCGGGCGCGGGGGAGGGGAGGGTGGGAGGCGGCGGGGACGCGAGGGGAGGGGGCCGGGCGCCGCGGTTCGCACGCCTAGCGGCCCAACGTGGCTCAGCTCTTTCCGTGAGGGCGGTGGTGGCCCTTAAAAGGGCCTTTGTGATAGCATAGGGAGGGCTGGGCAGCCGGCCGCAGCGCGGGCACCCCTCAGTACTCCTGAGAGGCCTGGGTGGCCTTTTTGCCGCCCGCCGGTGCCTTCGGCCCCACGGTGGCGCTGGTCTTCTTGGGCAGCAGCACGGCCTGGATGTTGGGCAGGACGCCCCCTTGAGCGATCGTCACGCCGCCCAGAAGCTTGTTGAGCTCCTCGTCGTTGCGGATGGCCAGCTGCAGGTGGCGGGGGATGATACGCGTCTTCTTGTTGTCGCGGGCCGCGTTGCCCGCCAGCTCCAGAATCTCAGCGGTGAGGTACTCGAGCACCGCCGCCAGATAAACCGGCGCGCCGGCGCCCACTCGCTCGGCGTAATGGCCCTTCCTCAGCAGCCGATGTACTCGGCCCACAGGGAACTGGAGACCCGCGCGAGAAGAGCGCGACTTGGCCTTAGCGCGGGCCTTGCCGCCAGTCTTGCCGCGACCGGACATAATGCGCGAGGTAGAACAGTGAAGAACAGCGTCTCTGAAGACCTCTCAACTGCCGCCCGCCGCAGTCCAACTGCTGCCGCGCGCGCCGCAGGGCCGCCCTTATAAGCCCCTAGGGCACACCCCCGCGCCCTTCCGATTGGTTCTTTTCTCCAATACCCGCCTCCGGTTGGTTGCGATTAACCCTTCCGTGACGTGCCTCAGCTGGGAAAGCGCGCCCGGCGATTGGTCGAATTTGAAAACCTTTTGCCCGGGGAAAAAGACGAGGAAGAGCCATAGCACACAGCCGGCCTACCACCTCCGAGTGTGGCCAATCCATGTAAAGCGCGGGAGATTTAAACCCTATAGCCAGAGACCAAAACCGGAAGCCAAAAAGGGTAGCACCTGAATCCGTGCTGGATAGCCCCTGGGAAATCCGTGCTGGCCTATGATTTTTAAAGGAAAGGAGTCAACTCTACAACTATCACTGCCTCCCTTCCAGGTCTGTTCACTCCTCACTCCCTCCTCTTATCTGGCAAAGGGTGTGTAAAGAAGAAAGAAAGAAGGCCTCTTGAAAGTTCCATCCTATGTCAGAACACAAATCCTCCATCTCACCTGAAGTGTGTTTCAATATTTATTCAACATGTTCTGTTTGGGCTCAGTTCTGTTTACTGCTTGCTAGAAAGTGTCAGAGATAGGCATTCTCTTGGAAGAGGTACCTCCAAACTCTCCCAATCTCTCCTAATCTGCTCATAGAGGAAATATACCTAAAAGGAACAACAAGAAAAAAATCAACTCTTTATTGTCACCAGTGAGAGCATCTGCCCCCACCTTACTAATCAGAACACTTAATTTAAAGTATCAATGTCTGTGTAGTGGCCCTTCCTCAGCAGCCAATATAGTCAGCTAGGGAACTGGAGACCGACTGGTATTCTATCTGGAAGCATATTCCTTGAGTCAGGACTCTGAATGTTAAATTATAAGTATCTGCATTATAGTTGCTGCATCCCACCTTAGGAGGCTGCGAAGATCAGATGGGAAGGGAAAGTGGCAAGATGAAGAAAATCATAGCCAAAGTCCAATTAATATCATTGGAGGGCTAGAAAGGCCCAGAAAGTCGATAATAACTGGTGAAGGAAAACGCAACAACAAAATCTGGAGTATAGTGAACAGTGGGAGAGGCCTGGGCCTGGAGGCAGTCTTGGACACAAGATTGGCCCAGGTTAGGACCCTGGAGACCGTGCCATAGTAAAGGGCAATCTTCAGGGAACTCAAACATCATAAAAGAGTCGGACAAGCTGGTATCGAATGGAGAAAGTGATAGCACTGCCCAGGATCTGCAAGGAGAAATGGACTGGAATAAGAACCATGAAGAACAGGAGACAAAGAGGTATAAACTCCACCCTCAATCTCACCTGCAGCAGTAGCAGGAGCAATGTGAGGTTTCTCTCATGTATGGGCCCAAAGATTTTAAGTAGCAAGTTGATGAGAGTCATGTTGTTACACTCAGTAAAGGCACCATCCTCATTCTCACTCTGGCGCACTGTGACTAGCCTGAGGCTTTCTGCTACCTGGAGGGACCAGAGGTGAAGAGAAGTTCAGCTAATACCTACATTTCAGGAATGGGGATCTACTTAATACTGCCAGCCTCCCCTTGGATCTGATGTAGACCTAGGATCCCCATTTCCTGAGTTCAGAATGGTGGCCTGGGGCCTTACCTCCTTGTTACCTTGTTACCTTTAAAATAAAAGTGCCCAAGAAAGAAAGGCTCTTGGTCTTGAACTTGGAATAGCTCATCTCCAGTTTGCCTGTTTTGGTATTGAGTCTGCAGGGGGGAAGACAGATTCATGTGATCAGCCCTCTAGTCAAAGACCTCTCTCCTCCCTGTAGTTAATTACTAGGAAAAGTACTGAATGTGGAATCAAACAACTTGAGATCTATTTCTGGCTCTGCTGTATGATCAGAACTGCAATGAACTTTAAATGAAATGATGTAAGTAAATGTGCTTTGTAAATTATAAATGGCTACCTACAAGGGAAGAGTTAGCTCTTCCTTGGAGCCTACAAAGCAAATATATAGGCTGGCTTTAGATATCCCAAGTGAAAGGCTATGATGCCCCAAAGTGGCTACCTGGGTATACGGTGACGAGGGCAGGGGATGATATGCAGGAGCTGAGGCAGTGAATAGAGGAAGTTGAACACCTGTGGCATGAAGAAGAGTAGCATGGTCTTGCTGAAGTGTCCCAAGATGCCCACCACGGCAAAGGTCATGCCAGCAAAGTAGCAGAAGGTATCTCCCACAAATACTCGTGATGGATACCTGTGTAGGAAAGAACATCTGAACCAGTGGCAAGAGACATTACCAATACTCTCTCCCACATCACACACTCTCAGCAGTGAGCTCACCCTGACTCTAGTTTTGAGAGGAGGCTATAGTTGTCACAGCCACTCTGCAGGACCCAAGGCCCTGAATTCATCTATTCCTGGGGGCTCCATAGCATACATCCCCAACTTCTACTCAGCAGAGAATAATTTCAGAATACTATCAGGCTGTGTAGCTCAGTGGTAGAGTACTTGACTGGCATGTGCCAAAGCCACGGCTTTTCTAGCAACACGAGGAAAAGTGACAGAATGCTACTATCTGAAGACCCAGAAAACAGTCAATGAAGGTATGCATAGATTTAGCCTCTCCATTAAGAGCTAGGTTGTTATCAGGACCATCTTTGCCAGGTGTTCAGATAGTTGTCTTCCTTATCCACCAGGCTACTTACCAGTTATGATAGAATAATCCCAAGGTGGTGAAAAAAAAGGGTATCATGAAGTAGAGGGAAAATACATGATCATCTCGATAATCACCTTTGAAAGCAAGGAAAAAGGAAAAGTGAATACCCATACTTTTCTGTGTGCCCTCATCCTATTTTTGTTTGTATCCCAGCTATATCATCCAGCTCACCCAAGTCACTTTTAAGAATCTATTACCCCCTTTTAGGTCACCAGGCAATTTCAAGTGTTCCACCATTTTACGGAAGCAATCAAAAACTGGTTAATGTCTTAAATTTGGTTTAGTCATTCTGACTTCAGTTTGAATATCAGCTTTACTTCCTAGCTATGTGATCTTCCATGTCACATAAGTGACTTTCCTCATCTGTAAGATAGGACAAATGATAACACCTGTTATAGAATGGTTTCAAGATTTAAATAACATGTTTTAAAAGCATTTAACATTAATAAGTACTTGTTGATATCCATCTGTCAAAGACTACCAGACACACATCGATAGTCAAAGTTGGGTTTACTAACATAAAAAGGGTGATTATAGAGACTACACACCATAGGGAAACATAGAATGTTTCATTCTGGTGGGGTATTAGGAGAGGCTTTTTATAGGATTCATTTTAGATAATTCTGGGGAGGTACAAGGAAATAAGAATTGTGCTAATTCTATGATTAAGCATCTTAATATATATTAATATATAATTAGTATATATAATTATATACATCATATTTTATATATATATATATATATATATATATATATATATATATTTTTTTTTTTTTTTTTTTAAACCTAAAAAGCAGGAGGAACCATTGTTACTGGAAAGAAGCCAGGGTCTCTCATGCTAAGAGGGGTTCTTGGTCATTTTTGTGGGTATCTCATGGTTTGTCTGTGCTCAGACATGATTGTGAGTGAAGAGTCTGGTTTTTGCTGTGTTCCATCATGGTCAGAGAGTGATTTTGATGCTGGGGTCTGTGAAACTGTTTCTGTACAATAGAAGATACAGCCTTGCTATTTGTGCCACTCCAGCTGTAAATGACAGAGCTATTTTTCTTTCTCAAATTTGATAACTCTCTATTGTTATTTGCAAAGTAAATAGTCTCCATTATCTTTTATAATTACTCACATATTGTTTCTTTTTTTCCTCCTGAATTCCCTAAAGCCATAAATAAGACAACTTCCTTAATACTCAGACTTCTCTTTCTCCCTATCCCAATCCCACCTACCTTCCAGCTCCACCAGGTTGAAGACAATGATGGAAGCAGAGATAACTAGAGACTGGCCAGCCTCTAGGCCATTAATCCCTGCTAGGATATTGATGGCATTGGTACAGAACACTGCCAGCAGCCCCATGTAGACATAGTAAAGGATCCCTGGGGGGAGACATAGTATGAAAAGAAGTTAATACCACCTAGGGAGGGAAGATTTAAGGATATTCTTTTGAGAAAAGTAATGAAAACACATCATAGGATAAAGAGTCACCAAAAAGGATCTGAGTAAACAGGGAAGAACAGGAACACTTAGAGGAGAATGTGGAGCACTAGGAAGTCTGCTGTGTTGGATATCTCACAGCGGTGAAGGGTATGAAGTAGATGCCACAGGTGCAGTATTGATAGTGCTACTCACCTAAGTCCAGATGCAGGCCAAGAATTGGTCGGAAGGGCTTGGGTACCACAATGGTTGTGTTGCCAAAGTTGGTAAAATAGACCATGAGGAGAGGTAGTGAGGCAGCTGTGGGCAGCAGTAGCTTATGGCGCCAGCGCAGATTGAGTACATCATCAGCAAAGCCCAAGAAAATCATGCAGCAGATGGCAAGAAGGGCACCTATCAGGGCCACAAACTGGGGGAGGCTCAGAAATGTTATAATGCAACACTATCCGCCCTCCTAACAAGAAGTCCTGTCTTTTCAGTTCGTTCCTCAGCCCCCTTACCCCAGTCCAAATAACCCCAACTCTTTCACCTCCCAGGCTCCAGCCAATGACTCCCATTAACTCACTTACTTCATGATGGGGGAATGCCTTACATTGCTCCTCCACAAAACAATTCAGGAAAGGAAAAGGGATGAAGCAGAAGAGGATGATAAGGAAAACTGCACCACTGATGACTCCCTGGGATTCTGGGCTGTGGTCCAGCAGCAAGGGTTCAGTGAAGGGGGGGTGGAGAAGAAAGGGGGCGTGGTCACTTACTAGTGCAGAAGTTACAGAAACCCATAATGGTCTTCTTCCCAGTTCTTTGGCGGGGCGGGGATGAGGAGGGCACCGCTGCTGGAGTTCCTGACACACCCAAGGGTCTCCCATCCATCCTTTCCCCAGGCTAACCAGTTCTTTCCAACACCTCCCTCTTTCCAGGGTTCCTTGGTTAGCTCTCGGTCGCGTGCAAAGTCAAGCACCTCAGTCTTCGCCCCTGCCTACCCACCAGATCCCCTGCCCGCCCGCCCGATCCCCTGCCCGGGACACCGTGTGCCGCCGCTCACATCTGCTGCCGAGTGGTTTTGTTGAGGTCTTGGCCACAGAGGCGCGCGGCGATAAAGTGGCCATGGAAGGCTGGGATGAGGGTGAGTGTAGCCACAAATCCCAACAACGAGCCGATCAAATTCACCAGCAGCGGCACGGGCAAGTCCGGAAAGGCCCACATGTTAACCCGCTAGGGGCACCGCTCCGCCGCCTACTCAGCTAACTGGCAAGCTAGGCAATAGCCCTGAGGCCTCAGCATTGGCCGCTCCTCACAAGCAGAGTCAGCGGGAGCAAAACCCAACAACTCTGATTTGACTCGCTCTCGGGATCCCCAGAAAGCTTTACAAAGCAACCTCGGCTCTGCCGGGCTGCACCTGCCCATCCAGAGTTTCCGCCCGGATCTTGATTGCAAAAGAACTATCAACACGGAAGGAAGCGACGCCATTTTTAATACGGGCACTAGCGAGGGAACAGAAGTGTTAATTTAAACTACACTTTTGTTCCAGAGTAGAGTCATGACAAGAGTAGTGGAGAAACAATTAAAGAAAGACAAGCAAGAGCGGATACTCTCCTAATACTATATTAAAGATGTACATCCCAGGGCGGAAATGCCCCCTGCCCGGTTCCAAAATGAACGCCTTCATTGTACCACGTGTTCGACCCTACTCACACTCTCTCCACGTCAGTTTTGGCTAGGTCGCCCCCGCAGGTCACGTTTAAAGGGCCAGTACCCAGCGCTTAATCCGGGATGTCTTGGAGCCAGGAAGATGTCTACTGGAAGCCGGGGGACGAGCGGGAGGAACGAGGGTGTGAAACCTCACCTACTGTTCAAATAACCTGTTGTCAACGTAGTCGAAGTCAAGGTAAACACAACTCGGTTTCCATAAGCGCAGCTGCAATTTAGAAGGATGATGTAAATTCTAAAGCGTAGACTTTTGAAAAGCCCCTCCCACTCTGTACTTTTCCCTCAACATCCCACCCACCTCCTGCCCCCACTGTAACAGTTCGTTGCCCGGCAACCCAGTGAGGCACCTCACTACTGAAGGAACTGGAGTGCCTTTAGGTCTTGAATTTAACTCGGGACTTTAACTTGCTCTTGGATCACTGCATTGTGCCAAGCTCCCAGAACGAGCAGATGGAGGCCTAGGCATCGGAAAGGACTAAGGAGACAGGAGAACCAGATCCACACCTGGCTTCTTGTGAGCCTGCCCATCTCCTCCTAGTCAGGTTTCTTTCTCCACATTGCTGTACTTTTGTTTGACACTTTTCTCCTGCAATTAACAGTTCACCTGCATCTTCATTCTCTTACACACACACACACACACCACAAGCAAATTACTTCCATTCTTCAGACAGGAAATCACAACCTGGAATTAAGAGATGACTCAAATAGTCTCCTACTTTGTCCATCCTTTCCAATATGTCATACTTTAGTTATCAGGATAGGACTGGCTCTTTTTAGGTCAAAGACAGTCTTTCCTTTCTCTCCATATCAGGTATAAACTGCCCTTTCTACTTGAAGGTGGCTATAATTAACAACAACAACAAAATGTATTAAATACATACATATATAATCCCACTAATTTACTGGATAGTATTCCATCAGATTTTGTTTTTCTGTGTTTGTGCGTGCAAAGTCTCTGGAGGCAAGTGTTTTCCTTTCCACAGGGTGTCCCCATGGGGGTAAGGACACAAGGACATGTGTGTACAAGGCATCATCACATGAATCTGTATCTGGAAGATGAATAGAGAGTAATTGGTGCACATGGAGGGTGCAACAGGTTGTGACCAGAGAAAGTGAGAGGGCCTTAAAGAAGAGAATTTTCTCAAAAGATTTCAGTAAGTGGTAAGAGTAGAAAATCCTTTCTTCCACATGGGAGAGTGAGAATGAGATGTTAGGAGCAGGTGGAAAGGAGGAGCTTGGGTGATCCCCAGAGAAGGCACCATTCAGTTATCTTGTTGATCAGGAGCCTAGCCGGCTGAGACTCCCTGAAGGTCTGAGATACAATCTGTATCTATTTTATTATTATTATTGTTAGAAGGCCAATCCTCATAAATTTTCCTTCCCACCTGGCTTAAGCCCTAAAATCTCTTCTCCAAAAATCATCATCCCATCCATCCCCTTGAATAAGAGGACAATACATCAAGGATTCATCATCCATATATATGTTACCATCAGAAAATGGTTACCTAGATATTTGTCATATAATTTGAATAATTTTGTTCCCATAATGGTAAATGCCCAATTGATTATCGGACTAATCAGAGAGAGAAGCAAACACATGACTCACTTGAAAATTTGGGCCTTTTCTAGTAAAAGTTCAAAGCAGTAGCTGAATGCTGAAAAACAGTCATTAGGATTTATAAATCATCTGAGTTGTTACTGGTCTTGGGCTGAGCAGGCAATGTTTACAATGTAAATTTCCTTCTGAGCAGCCCTGAGCTCCAAGTAAGTAAAACCAATCCACTTTTTTTTTTTTTTTTTTTGGTGGGGGGCCGGTATGAGAGATTGAACTCAGAGGCACTTTAACCTTGAGCTACCTCCCTAGTCCTTTTTATTCTATTTTATTGTTACTAGGGATTGAACCAAGGGCTCAACTACTGAGCCACATCCCCAACCCTTTTTTATATTTTGTTTTGAAAAAGTGTCTTGCTTAGTTGCTTAGGGCCTCCTTAAGTTGCTGAGGATGGCTTTGAACTTTCCCTCCTTCTGCCTCAGCCTCCCGAAAGTCACTGGGATTACAAACATGTTCCACCATACTCAGCCCCTTTTATTTATTGAGACAGGGTCCTGCTAAATTGCTGGGGCCGGCCTTGAACTTGTGATCCTCCTGCTTCAGCCTCCCAAGTCACTGGAATTATAGATGTTCCCCACTGTGCTCACTCCAATCCATTATTAAGTTCATTTCCAGACTAAACTTTTCCTGAAAATATTTCACAGTATTTAAAAAGACCATGAGACTGCTCTTGATAGTCCAGGACTGTGACACTTATAGGACCCTAATTGTAGCTCTGCCCAGGCAGCTGAGTTGCTCCTTGCCCCCTGACATTTCACAATACTGGGAATTGAATGCAGAGTTGCTCTAACACTGACCTATATCCCCAGCCCTTCTTATTTTCTTATTTTGAGACAGGGTCTCACTAAGTTGCCTAGGCTTATCATGAATTTGTGATCCTTCTACCTTAGCCTCAAGTAGTGGGATTGCAGGCATGCGCCACTGCCTGTGGCACTGTGTCTTTTTACTCTTCCCCTATCAGTCCAGCTAACAAAAGTCCTTAGCTGAAAGCAAGCCCTAGGAGCTCCCATTCCATTCCAAAGATGGAAATACAGAAATTCTTAGTGTTTACATATATATTGGAATATTTTCTGTTATATTTCTTAAAATTACAAGTAATTTGAAAATCCTTACTTATATACATAGGAAACACTTTAAGTAAAATAGGGAACACAAAGTGATATAAATGCAATTGCTTCCCCCAAGGAGAACTTTGGCATATTTAAAGTACCTTGATTGAACATGAGGGAAGAGAGATGAGTAAGACATGGTCCTCACTCTTAGGCAATTTCCTGATGAACAGAAAAAACAAACATTTAAACAACCAGCTAGACTGTAATGCAAAATGAAATGGGTGCTTGAGGTCTAACTAATTCATGTAAGACTGAATTTGGAAGCAGATCTGGCAGCATAGGACCAAGCACCTAGTGGAGGAGTTGAGGAAATGAATCTGAACTCAAAGAACTGAGATCCTTGGGAGGTCCAAATTTTCCTAAAGAAGGATTCTTGGTAGAAGAGGGTCTTTTGCATGTGGACACTTCCTGCAAAGTCTTCTCCTCTAATCCTGATTGTTCTGCCCACTCAACACTCCCTCGTGGGTTCTGGATCTGAGCTTTTCCTCCCTTGATTTCACATCTTCCGCTCCCCTGATACTAGAAATGGAAACTCTAGGAATCCCCATTGTTTTTGGAGTTTGGTGATATTGTGTGAGCAGGGCCATAGCAAGATTACCTCATCACCCACTTCTCCACATTACTCCTTACACTGGAATTTAAGGATACCTCAGACTCTTCTCTGCCTCATATCACCCTGCTGCCAACCTGCCAGGTCCTTCCTAGCCTTACAACCCATGCTTTAGAAGGCGTTGGTTATTCTCCTGTGCTCATTCTTTAGACAACCAAATGGATTTGGAAGATATTTAACACCTTCCTTTCTACCTCTCTGGAAGGCATTATGTGCCAGAGACCTTCCCATATGTGTGAAGAAGGGGCTCTTGGGGCATAGGAATGCCTTTGAATTCTTCTGTAGGTTTTTCTTTCCCCAGAAAGCAAAGATAAGCCCCAAACCTATAGGGATGGAATACTCTCTAAAACTAGGAAAAGGGGTAGGTCCTGAGACCAGAGATTGAACAATATACCTACAACACCATTTTGGGGGAAACTTGTTGCGATATCACATATTTGGGGCTTTGGTTTTTTTTTTGTTGTTGTTGTTGTTGTTTTTGGTGGGGGGAGGATTTGTTTTTGAAGCTCTCACCACTGTGTTGTCCTTGAACTCCTACTTTTTTTCCCAACTCCTGGGTTGAAATGCTGCTCCCACCTCAGCCTCCTGAGTAGCTAGCTCTATAAGCCTGCACTACTGCATCGATGGGATATCACCTACATATTTGGATGGTACAGTCTTCTGGTCAAATCTATTGATAGTCCAATGCTACGTTACCAGCTCCCTTCTCATTACCACCCTCTCTACATGTGCTCCATAGGCAGGAGCTGTTACTATGGAAATATATTATTTTTAAAAACAGATGCATCCTAGGGCTCAGGAAATATCTCCAGAACAAACCCACACGAGGATGAGGAGGTTTAATTGGTGATCTTCCTAGGTCCTAGCTCCAAGGGGAAGGAGGTTGGTGGGTGATGGAAGGAATTCAAGGCTCCATGTTCTATTCTCAACCTTTACCAGGTTCAGGTTCCGCTTTCTGTCATATCAACAGGAACCCTGCCAGGCACTTCTTTCTGAGAGGGATGCCCTGCGCCTCTCTACCCTGGGCCTAGCTTCAGTCAGGGAATGGGAACCTAGAAGCTGCTGAGCCTGGGGGTGTTGGGAGAAGGGGGCAGTGATTTCCACAGGGGTCACCGCCTTCTTAACCCCACAGGCGCCTAACTTGAAGAAATCTAAGATGCGTAGGGGAAGACGGAGGCGGCGTCTCAGATAAGTGAAGTTACTCTTGCCTTGAGCTGGGGTGAAGGGGTGCACCCCGACCGCAAGATGGGGTGGAGGCGGTCAAAGAACCTGCCTATTTTTCAAGCCAGGAACCCGCTTTGCTCGCTGCTCATCCTCCCGCCCTACTCCAGCTCTGAGCGCCAGGCTGGCCGGCCCCGCCCCGCGCGGGGTGCGGCTCCTTTAAGGGCGGGTGGGGGCGGGGCG